CATTACTATGCATTCCCAAACACAGAAAAAAGATCTCAGAGTTTAAGGGACTCAGCGACCACTTAGAAATAAAATATGGAACACACAGGTATAAGGACCCCATAGTAGATCCTGGATTCTGCTTAAAATAAAGCCATACCAAAAATTATGCCACCAATTTATTTTTTCCTCCTCTTTCTGAAAATTCAACTATAGGCTAAAATGCCAATAAAAGGTTTAGGGTATTTAGGTTACAGTAATTAAAAGGAATCCCAACATTAAAACACACATACACATATTCACATTGAAAGATATAAACTCCTCTTTTTGATCTAGATTTTGAAAGAGGTACTAACACAGATAATACTTATAAAAATAGACAGCAATTTTCAAGCACTAAAATTTTATCTTTAACTGTATAAGTACCCTTAATTTAGGATACTCTAGAGTCACAGGGGAAAAGAAAACAAAAACAAAAATGAAAAAATCCCAGAAAAACCTCAACATGCATTCAGGCTGATTTCTTCAAATTAAAAGTCAAGTGCATCAGCTTCATTTCACCTGAGTGTGTGAAAGAGACAGAAAACTGCTGATTAGTACCTACAATATTGTGAAACCATTCTTCTGCTTTCACTGCTAGTCCTTAGGTTAATCTCTAATCCTGTCATGTTCTATGAAATGCTATTGTACATCTATTTCACAATACCTATTGTTCAACTTTTCAGGAAACGTGTAACTTCAGTGATGAAGTAAGTGCTGGGGCAGTTTGAAACTATAAGCAAGAGTATTGGAATGCAGACTCTTCACTAAGGGAAATTAAATGTCAGCCAAAATTAGGTATATAGTTAGCTAGATCAAAATCTAATACTCTAGGTACTTAAGAAGAGAAGTCATTGTACCTAGCCCAGTTTGCCATATTAGGCTTATTCTCTTGGCCAGAGGCATGGGAGTACTTAGAGGGCTGGTGATTAGAAGCATGCCAGCTGCATTCTTTTGCGTTAGGAGGGCTTCAAAAGCAGCTGCAATTGCTCAGCCATCAGCGTCATGTGTGGCTTGTCAGTGGATACCAGCTCCCATCAGTTTCTTTTGAATGTATATGAGAGATTAAGCAGGATTTACAAGATATTCAGAGTGAGATACAGTCATCTGCAAACCAGTGTTTTTTTTCATCACTGGTCTAAAAAGCTCCCTGCTCAGTAAAACAGGGGGTACCTATGGATATTAGAAAATGTAATGGTGAAAGGAAACATCTCAGTGTGATGGAATGACACCTAAACAAAATCAGGCAGTGTACTGAAAACTTTGGCAAAGCAAGATTACTGGCATCAGAAAAGGCTGTAGCTCACAAATAAATAGTTTATTAAAATAAACTGTAAGTCCAGTAAATCTTTGTCTCACACAGGTTGATTCAAGTGGTTAGTAAATCCTCCAGAAGGTATGTAGTAAGCCATCTTTGTTGAGTAAAACTTATCAACACATACTTCAAGTGAAACTAACCTTTCATTTAAGAGCTGCTAGTGTGTTCTTCTTTCAAATTTATACAACATATTGAGCACTAATGTTAAGTTCCAATGTACACAGTTAAATTTTTAACTCCTTCAATTAAGCATTTCTATTTAAAAACTCAATGGATCACAATGGTCAGACCCACAATGGATCATGGGGTCTACGCTGCCTGGGCAGCACTGTTCCCTTGTGCACGGGGTTGCCATGAATCGAGGCTGACTCCACAGCAGCTAACAACAGAAAATTCAGTTCTCGGGCACCAACTAGTCAGTAAGTGGAATACCTTACAGGAAGGCCAATGCCTGGAAGCCCTGCTGCTGAATAATGAAATGTGCTAGCAGGCAAAAGGACAATCTCTCAGTGGTTTCAGATTCTGGCTGAAAAAGCAGAAATTGCATTCTAGTTGAGCACTTTTCACACTTAACATTCACGCTTCTTAACAATGAATCTGACAACTCCTGCAGTATTCTAGAACAAGGCAGATGATGTAGGTCAGTACTACAAGTTAATTTGTTTCATACTCTAAAAATGTAACCTGGATAATTTACCATGGCACAACTCATCTTTTAACAGCAACATCTAATACATAGTTAGAAAATGGATTCCCTTTACATGATTAAAATAAACCGGATTTCAGGCAGCTGGCAGGCCACAGACCCACTTTAGAATGTGATTCACTTACTGACACTGAGAATAGTTACAGTTTCTGACAAGATAACATTTACTTCCTTTAAATTTGATGAGAAGAGGTGAAGAAAACTACACCATGACGGGAAGGTTAAGACAAACAGTGGACTTCTGCTAAAAATGCTCTCATCTTCCTCTTATGCAAAGGTAACTGTTTTAGCACAAGTAATAGGGACAAAGAACACATATTTTGAGCTCTAATACTAATACAAGTTTTCCTTCCTTCTATGGAAGGAAAATATTCACTGCCATCGAGTCAATTCTGACTCATAGTAGAATAGCACTGCCCCACGGGGTTTCCCAAGGCTGTAAATCTTTGTGGGAACAGACTGCCTCATCTTTCTCCTGCAGAGTGGCTGGTGGGTTTAAACCACTGACTTCCTAGTTAGCAGCTGAGTGCCTTAACCACTGTGCCACCAGAGGGACTATGAAAGGAAAATAATAAGAGCTAAAATCCTAAGTTAAGAAAGTGAAGAAGTTCCAGTTTTTCCTGACCATGAGTACTCAGAATATTATTATTTTTCTTAATACTGCTTCAAATGAGACTGCTCTTGTCAGATCACACTGCCATTCATTACAGTTCAGAAATTTCTATTCACTGTTTTAGAGCATGTAATGCCTTGGCATAGATCTGGGATTTTCAACCTTGGCACTATGGGCACTCTGGATTAGGTAATTACTCGTTGTGGGGCTACCCTCAGCACTGAAGGGTGTTTAACAGCATTCCTAGGCTAGCATTCCTAGCTTCTACCCACTATATGCCAACAACACAGCCCCACCCCCTACCCCCAACTAGGACAACCAAAAATGTCTCTAAAAATTCATTGCTGCTGAGTTGATTCCTACTCATAGCAAGACTCTGTAAGACAGGTACAACTGCTCCATCAGGTTTCCAAGGCTGTAATCTTTATAGAATCAGACTGCCAAATCTTTCTCTCATGGAGTAGCTGGTAGGTTCAAACAGTTGACCTTTGGGTTAGGAGCCAAGTACTTAACTACTGCACCACCAGCAAATGTTCCAATAGTATACTCTACTGACATACAGCGTAAGTCCAGCCAAACAGTGAAACATGGTCGATACTTTAAACTTCCTCATTCTTTTCAATGATGCTTTAAATAGATGAAAATCCCAAATCCTCAAATAACTAAAAAGAATTAAGTCTACGAACAGCAATAACAAAAACACAATCTCAGTTCCATATATAATGAAACATTTTTTAACATCTAAACTTTTAGCTTCAATAATCTAACAAACTTTTATATTTAATTTTTTAATTTAAAGAGTCTGAGAGTTTGATTTTCAACTTCAAAGTCTTATTTTCAAATAACCAGATCATGGGAATGAATCCTCAGATCTGAACCCAGGGCTGAGCCTTATGTCTAATGAGGAAGTTGTGTCTGAGAATTCCAAAACACCTATCCACTGCAAATCTTAGATTGGTCTCGGAGAAGGAAGTGGGGGAAGCAGCAGCCCCTGGTGCTGAGCGTCTGCTGAAGCCCTCAGGCCTATGCTCATTCCTATGTTCCCTGCCTGGGCTGTTGTGAAGGTGTCAAGATCTGACGGTGAGTCACCACTGGGAGGGCTTTCACAGTGCATGTCTTCCTTCTGTTCACAGTGGGTCTTTTCTTTATTCAAAAGATCCATCAACATTAACTGAAAAAATGAACTACTTTTGCATACTAATTATGTGTCTTGTTGGGTATATTTTTGTTGTTGACTATTCTTGTTTGACTATCACAGATAGTCAAAACCTTTTTACATATACATACCTCTACAGACACACTTGGGAGCTCTGGTAGCATAGTGGCTAAGGCACTTGACTGCTAACCAGAAGGCTGGCGGTTCAAACCCACCAGCCACTCCTCGGAAGGAAGGTTGGGCAATCCTACTTCCATAGTGATACTGCCTCGGAAACCCAAGGAGGGGTTGCTATAAGTCAGGGCTGACGCGACGGCACATAACAACAACAACAACACAGACACACTCATGCATTAAGAAAAATGGATGCTGACTTTATTGATTTTCTAACTCTTCCATTTTACAGATGCTATATTATCCAATGTGCAGTTTGAGAGAAAATGAGAGGTTGAAGAAAAGATTATTCACATAAACTTTCTGTCTTCATTTCAACTCTTCTAGAGGGGACAAGAATCAAATGATCAGATTTCTCTTCAGGTTTCCAGGGAGACAACGGCATCTTTTAGTGACCATGGAGCATACTCCAATATTATTTTTGTCTCAAGAGCTTGGTCCTCCTGTTAGCAGTAGCTGTGAAACCCTCTGTGCTTAAGTTTACTCAGGTCTAAAAATAGTGGTTACGTTTTTGATTTATCTAACAGTCCATTGAATTCTTGAGTAATCATAGTACATTTATCATACTCTAAGGTAGTGGCATAGTGGGTAAGGCATTTGTCTGCTAACCAGAAGGTCAGTGGTTCAAACCCACCAGCTGCTCTGAGGAAGATGAGGCAATCTACTTCTGTAAAGATTTACAGCCCTGGAAACCCAATGGGGGTTGCTATGAATCAGAGTCTACTCAATGGCAAGTAGGTTTGGAAATTAGATATAGAAAAGGCCATTTTTAAAGGCAAGCCTGCAAAATTGCCTATTCTAGTTTAGGCAAATCTTAAACATCTATAGAAAAAACACATGTGCACACAGAAACACCAATGCTATTTCCAAAAAAGAGCACAACTTAAAATGCTTACTACATTTCATTATATTGCTATTTTCCAGGCACAAGGTACCATATCAATTAGGTCCTTGAGAAGAACAGTCTGTAAAAGCTACTAACAGCTTATCAGAGATAAGGAAAACAAATACATACCATCAAAGCTACCTTTCTCGGAAGCAATATGCAACAGCTGATTGAATGTTTCAACTGAAGGTTGATAAACAAAGACTCCAGAATTAAAGCAGTCAGGCCACCCTGGGTCCGGGGCTGCTGACAATTCTTCTCTTTCAAAAAGATCATCAATATTTGCTAGAACCTGATCCAAAGGGGGAAAATGTTAGAGAAATTTTCTATTGCAGCAAAACCTTCTCAAGTCTTCCCAAGTTACCCGATACAACAGATGAAGGCTTCACTATTCAGGTGGCAACCATAAGGCAGCCTGGGTCTGGTCCCCTCATCACCTGACTACAACAGTGGTTTTATCTGAACTATTCTGTCAAGTGTAACACGTCTCAAATGCTGAACAGGTCTCCATTACTATTACGTCTTTTCAGCCCTTAAAGCCACACTCACCAGAGTATCTGCATCCATGAACACACATTTTGAATACTGTATAAGTGACCAGCAGTGCAGTTTCGTTAACGTGACACCCAACTCGGGCCTCTTCATTAAGGTTAGATGAGCAGAATCACCACTGTCTAGGACGTCTACTGTGATGACCTCATCAAAGACTGTCTCTAAAATTTTTCTGTCAAAATAAAATCCAAAGAGCAGTGCTTAGCATCTTTTTAGAATAAGTGACTAATCTCACATTAAGATAGTTGTCTTCAGATCCTGTCTATCTAGTAATTACTAGAACAAATTACTTTGGCAGAGTATATTTTTCCTATTTAAGGAAAAATTGTGTTTATTTGCATATGCAGTTTACTTTATTAAAGTAATGAAAACTGCTTATGGTGACAGTGAAGCTCGTCTTAAAGCACTTTTATAAAAGTTTTCTGTTTTCTATCGTGCAGCTGAACAATAGGCAGTGTGGCAACAGCTTGCAAAAACTTGACTGACATTTGCTAAAACAGTATATCTTGGCAACAGCCTATGTATTTACAAATGTTATTTTATTAGAATTGTTGCTGACTACTAGTGTATATTTTTACAAATGATGCTGACTAACTATAATATCTGCAATAAAATCTATTACCTAATCACATTTGCTAAAGTAGTTAAAAGAAAAAATGCCTGAAAAGGTGTGTCCCAAAAGAAATTAAAGCACTCAGTTATTCAGCTGCCATTATTTAAATCCAATATAATGAGGATTTACTGTATGGTTAGCACTCTGCTTAGGCATAAGGAGAGACACTCATTTTGGCCTGTGAGGTACAACACTTCTCCATGTTCAAAATTAACTAAAGCTTTATTTTGGAAAGTTCTTGAGATGGGTTAGTGAGGTGGACTTAGGTAAAATGACGAACTCAGCATGAGAAAAAAAAATGTATAAGATAAATCATCACTGAACATTTAAAGCAATTTCAGACACGCGAAACAAAGCTAGTATTGTATGTCTCCAAAGCTGTACAAAAACATGTTCTAGTTCACACAGTAAACTTACTTCATCTTTTTGAGAAGAATGGTCAGCAGCAGCATTTACACAGTAAATCAGAGGGAAAATCTAAGACTAGATCTGGCTGCTTGCACATATCCTCACCAACAGACTACAAATTAGGAGGTACACATTAAGAAGCAGACTTGTAGGCATCTTCCTAAATTACCCTTTAGGAACAACGTTGTTAGTGTGAGAGAGATATGAACGTTTTTGTATAAACATCCCTCCTTTTTAGGGACCCTTGGCAAAATTTTTTTTGAGAATTTTTTGAAAAATGTCACAAAAAGGGCGTTTTCAATTTCCAAGAAGGCTTGGAGAATGTGAAAATAAACACAATACAGAGCTGCTAGCATGCCTAGATATTTTTATAGTATTAGGGACCAAGCAGCTCATTCAGATCCTTCAAAATGTAATTCTAACAAATCAAAGGGAACTAACCCCATCAACAAGAAGCTTGTGCTTCTGGTTGTGGTTGGGGGAGATGACCCACCACAACCACTGGATTCCAGTCTACTGTATCCTCTATAAAGGCCAAAAGACTGTTAGGTTAGGAATGTCATCTGGCAGTGGGGCACATTGCTACTTTTCTTTTAAAGGCACTTGAAGGGTTTTCCCTGGTTGGAAAGAGGAAACAAAGTAGCCACTGCTGCATTTTGGGATAGCTTTATATTTAAGGACTACAAGTGAAGTGTGACTACATAAAGCTGCACTTAACCAGGGAACATCTGGACTGAAACACTCACTCAGGTCACCCAGTGGACTTGCTTAGGGGAAATCCTTCTTCTTCCACTCTTAGTTGCAATCAGGAAGAGTGTGGGCCAGAACATCACCTCCCAGAAGGGAGCTACAAACCTTGGCTGGAATGTCTTCCCAAAAGCTAGGAAGAGGTTTCAGACCTGGGAATCCTTCATTCAGCAATTCTCATCTTTCTCCATTTGGTGCTCAACCCCTGAAAAGCATATGGCCTCAATGCAGGCTGATGCCAGAAACAGAGGATAGGGAAGTCAGAAACCTGAAAATGGATAGGCAGCGAGGTCCTCACCTCATGGAGTCCGAGACCTGTGGAGTGGTGAGCACGGCCAGCCTCCTGGTGGTCCTGTGCTGTTTCAGAGACGAGCCCAGGACCAGGGCTCCTTTGGCATAGGCATCATTTGTGGTGAGTGTTACAAAGGCCTGATCTTAATACAAAGAAAAAACCACACGCATTACAATACTTTACCACCTGGAAATGTGTCCTTGGGTGCTGTAAACAATTAATGTGCTTGGTTTCTCACCAAAAGGTTGGAGTTTGAGTCCAGCCAGAGGTGCCTTGGAAGAAAGACCTGGCAATCTATTTCCAAAAAAATCAACCACTGAAAATCCTATAGAGCAGTTCTACTCTGACAAACACAGGGTCACCATGAGTTAGAATCTACTGCTAGATGGTAAAACCAACTCAAGACCCTTTTCCAAATATTATTGTTTTAGGTGCCACTGAGTTGATTTCAACTCATAGTGACTCCATGTGACAGAGTAGAACTGTCCCATGGAGTTTTCTAAGCTGTAATCTTTATAGAAGCTGATTGCCACGTCTTTCTCCTGTGGAGCTGCTGGGTGGGTTTGGAATATCAACCTTTCAGTTTGCAGATGAGCAAGCTTTATGCCACCGGAGCTCATTTTTCAAAAAGTAACTCATCAGTTCCACTGAGATGAACTTGTTCTATTAATAATGGAACAGTCTGTTTTTGGGGAGAAACCTAAGTATCAACCTGAAAACTGCAAGAATATTCTTTAGCAGGACTATCTGTGGCAACCTTCAAGAGGAAGATTGAGCCATAAAAATTAAATCCAATTTTGAGTCTGGACATGCTAAATTCTCAGACTAAATAGTAGTGTAACATCTAGAAGGTGGGGCAATTAACTGGTGACAACAAAGTGCATTTTCTGTTTCTCCTATAAGGTACTATATCTTTATCCAAACACAAATCCTATTGCAGAGCTGAACTGAGGCAGTCTGACAGCAAGAGGCCATATTCTTCATTCTGGTGCTTACAGTTCTCTCAGTCTTCAGGCTTTTATATTCACTGTTTCTTAACTCTGGAGCAAACCCCCACTGCACCACCCCTCAAGGACCACTCCTTCTCTGCTTAAATATCACCTCCTTAGAGAGGCCTTTCCTCGCTGATGCTTCTAAATAGTGACCAATTGCTGTCAAATGGATTTAGAGACCACCTCATAAGCTCTAACAAACCTGGTTTCTCTTCCTTGGAGAAGGAAACAGTACCCCCTAGCTTCCTCCGTGGGCCTCTTCTCCCCAACACTCGCACATAAAAACTCAATCTCAGTAATCAGTTGTTGGAACAGAGGACAGGCACTTAGATTATTTTTCCAACTGAACCCCACCCTCCGAAAACCATCTGCCCAGCCTTTCTGACATCTCCTATTCTTCCCTGGGACCGTTCTGGGCCATGCTCTGTGTCTAAGGGGATCTTAAAGGCAGAAAATTGGTGAGCATCCAAATGTGCGGGACACTTAGGATCAAGCTCTGGCAGGGATCACTTGGGACACTGTTGCCCAACCAGTGAGTTGGGAGGACATTTGTCATGAAGTCATTCCCTGTCTTGAGTTTCTTCATTCTCCTTTACACATTTTCCAACTTAGAGGAAAGAAGCAATGGAAACTTTGTGGAAAGAAGTAAGAGGAAGTTGTAGTTTATGAACTGGATTGGCTGCCCCCTTCCTCTGACCCAGAAGCATCTTCACACATAATGTTGGCCCTTCTTCCAGGGCAAGCTAAGTTATAGAAAGACTAACATTCCTCACCACCAGATTCCCAGAATGTCACTCTAGGAAAGTTCAGGCCAGTGACACCTGTCATTTGACATACCCTATTAGCCTCTGCCTGCACTTGTTTCTATTAGCAAGTTCCTTCAACCAATCGTAAAATGGCAACATTTCAAACTCCCCACAATGATACTTAATAATCTGGGGCCTAATGAATAATGTTTTAATTCAAGAGTGGTCCAGATTGGAGAATCATGGAGAAAAGTTTAACAAGATATGATTCGAGTATTTCAGGAAGAGAAACAAAAGATAAGGATTTTTAAAAATCTCTCTGAGATGAAGCACTTAATAATGCTTAGGAACATAGTAAGGCTAGCAAAGATTACAAATGAACAGGAAAGACCAATGGCAGATGGGTAGAAGTTCAACCTTCCTAGAGACGTTGAGCTCTGGGCTACACAGCAGTTTTATTGGCAGTTTAATTGCTGTAATAATCCACGCGATTGGCCTCAACGACACGGAAAGGACTCGTTACCTCGGAGCCTCCCGGTCCTTCGCCGTGCAGCCCCAGTATCTCGCAACAAGTGGGGCCCATGTCCATGTTGGGGCCCGCTCCCCAGAGGCGCTCACCGGCTTGCACCATACCAAACTCATTGCCCACAGTCGTTTCCGACTGATAGTGACCCTACAGGATGGACAGAACGCCCCACAAGGTTTCCGAGACTGCCACATATTTCTCCCGCAGAGCTGCTGGAGAGTTCGAACCGCCGATCTCTCGGCAGCCCGGCACTTTAACCACTGAGTCACCAGGGCTCCCAAACCTGGACGCAAAGGCCTAAAAATAGGTGCCGCGCAGCGGCCAGGGCCAGGAGGCCGAGGAGTCGGGCCTGGGGCCCGCGCCCCCGCCCTTGCGGTCGCCCTTCCCTGGGTTCCTGACGCGGGCGGCGGGGGCGGTTCCCCCAATACCCCAGTGTCCCGGAACCTCTGAATGCGCCCCCGGGGAAACCGGCTCCCCACCCCCACTCCGCCCGCTGCAGCTGCTCCGCCCGCCGCCCGCCCTTCACGGCCCGAGCAGGAGGAAGGGCAAGGAGACGGAAGCAGGAGCGGGGCTCCGCGGAAGGCGCAGACGCTGCCGGGCAGCCCCCTATTACTGCGCGCTCGGGTTCCTGGCGGCCGCTCCGGGTCGGGGGAGGAGGGCAGCCGCTGACGCAGGAAGCAGCGCACTCGGCTGCGGCCAGCCTGCAACTTTGCTGCGGTCTTCGCCTTGTCGGGAACTCCCCCGGGCGGCGCACTGCGAGGGGCCGCGCCGGCGAGAAGCCGGAGGCTCTGGAGGGGTGGCGGTGGAGCCCGCCCGCGGGTCGGTGGGCGGCGCAGCGCGTACCTGTCATGTTGCTCCCGGGGGCGCGGGCGTCCGCCGCAGCCGCAGTTTGGTGACTGGGAGCAGCTGGGCACCGGGAGGGAGAGCGACCAGGGAGGAGGCGCAGCCGGAGCAGAGCGTCCGCCCGGGGCGCTCTTATAGCGGCCGTCACGTGGCCGCGCACGCTCCGGTTGCAGCCTGCATCCTCCCCAGTGCGCGGCCGGCGGGGGGCGGCGGCCCGGGGGCTGAGGGACCCAGTGCCCCTTAGCGCATCAGCCCATCCTCCTCCCCGGCGTCCCAGCGGGGTGGCCTTGGACACCTGTCCAAGACCGCGCGCCTCGCCCAAGTACCTACCCCTTCTGGCCCAGGAACTGGACAGGGACTTTAGGGCAGAGTGTGGCATCAGGAGGACAAAATCCCAAACAAGCCAAAGAAAGATTGTTGTTGTTGTGTTCCGTCGAGTCGGCCCCGACTCATAGCGACCCCCTCCTTGGGTTTCCGAGGCAGTATCACTACGGAAGTAGGATTGCCCAACCTTCCCTCCGAGGAGAAAGAAAGATAGGGACCCTTGATAAACAGGTTGCTGTAATTATAATGGAAAGAGTATAAATTGCTAGAATTAACGCAACATGGAAGTCTTAAGTTCACTTTTCTCAAAGAATTCCAAATAACCTGGAACTTCAGTGTACTCAGTTGTTTTTTGGTCTTGCCCTAAAAATAGAATGAATTGTCAGTAGTATTTAAATCTTGGAGTCATCTGTATAAATTAGGTATTTCAGTGTTTCATTTATTCCTCACACCAAATCAGGGAGGTAGTATCCCATTTTAGAGATGAGGAAAGTGAGGTGCACAGAAGTTAAATTACTTGCCTGTAATGTAAGTGGAGAAGGAAGAATTTGATCTCTGGCAGTTCAACTACAGAACCAACTCTCCTACCAACAATGTCCTGACATCTCTGGAGATCCACGTGCTAAAAAGTTTCGTAAATTATGGTAACTGTAGTTAGGTAATACAGTTGTTTAGGTAAATCTGTTTCAGAAATCTCAAAAGGGTCATTTTTCTAAAAAGTTGAGAAATAGCTCTCTAATGTGTGCACATACTTCCACTGCCCCACGTTCCTTCCACCCAGCCTGCACACAGCAGGAAAGCAACAGATAGTGCAGATCTCTGCAAACAATAAATCTCTTGTGGTGAAGTAGATTCCAACTTAAGGTGACCCTGTGTGTTTCTGGGTAGAACTATGCTCCATAGGATTTTCAGTGGCTGAATTTTTGGAAGTAAATCTCTAGACCTTTCTTCTGAGGCACCTCTGGGTATACTCAAAACAACTTTCAGTCAGCAAGCAGCGAAGCACTGTTTGTACCTCCAGGGGACTCACTGCAAACAATAGTTGTTCAAGAAATGCTGACTAAGGACCCCTGGTAGTGCAGTGGTTGAGTGATTGGCTGCTAATTGAAAGGTCAGAAGTTTGAACCCGAGCTCTGGTAGCACAGTGCCTAGGGCACTTGACTGCTAACCAGAAGGCTGGTGGTTCAAACCACCAGCCACTCCTCGGAAGGAAGATGGGCAATCTACTTCTGTAGTGATGCTGCCTCAGAAACCCAAGGAGGGGTCACTATGAATCGGTCCGACTCCACGGCACATAACAACAACAACAACTACTTCTCAGGTCTGCCATCAAGATTCCAGCCTTGGAAACCCTAGGAAGCAATTCTGCTCTGTTCTATAGGGCTCTATGAGCTAGAATCGACTGGACAATACCTTTTTTTTTTTTTTTAATGTTGAATGAATACCACAGAATTAGTTGGAAGTTAATCAAAAAGTTGACCTCAGTTCAAAAAGGGGAAAAGTTGCTTAAGAATAAGTGATTTATTGCGTAGGTGCTGTCATTCCCAAGCCAATTATTTTACAGTTTCAAGTGTAGGCCTGGACCTCCTCCATCAGAATCTGTTGGGGCACTTGCTAAAATGCAGATTTCTGTGTCTGAACCCAGACCTATTGACTCAGAACCTGAGAATCAGCATTTTAAATAGTAGTCTCTTGAAGCCTTTCTTAGGCTCCCCATCCCCCCTTCAATGGCATGGGGACCACTGATGAACATGGATGACTTCCCTGGTTATTTGGCACTATAAACTTAGTGTAGTGCCTAAGGCACCTGACTAATAACCAGAAGGCTGGCGGTTCAAACCCACCAGCCACTCCTTGGAAGGAAGATGGGGCAATCTACTTCCATAGTGATACTGCCTGGGAAACCCAAGGAGGGGTCGCTATGAGTTGGGTCCGAGTTGACGGCACATAACAACAACAACAAGGCCAAACTTACCTTGCTTAATGGATACTGCATCGCTGTCAAGGATTGTAAATTTGAAAAGAGGCTTTGATTCTATAAAGAAGGTGCTGTGGATTTGGGAGAGAGACAGATGCCAGCCATACCTACAAGCCGAATCTTTGATACGGTGAAACAGTGCGAAATTGTTCACTACAGAGTGGTAAGTAAGCACATGTAAGCCCGTGCTTACCTTACTTATTGGGTAATCCGACACTGCATACTCCTCTCTGCTGTATCTCCCGGAATGCTTAAATAAAGGGGGATTGGTCACCAGAGCCTTCTTATCTTGTGTTTTATGTATTTACATAAACTGAAAGTTTACAGCTTTTACTGCCTTGAGTCAAATAGGAACATTTTGAGGTTGCAACCATCTATCTACTCTTGCATGCTGTTTTAATCAAATTACTAAAAATGACTACCCAATTTCTCTGAATTGCTCTGTGTTGAGCTTCAGTTGTGTGTGAGAGCAGGACCTCTAAGACTTAAATGTGTGTGAATTGTCTGGGGATCTTGCTAAAATGCAGATTCTGACTCAGTAGTTTGGGGTGGGTCTTCCATGTCCTGCAGAGGCAGCTGGTCTGTGGACCAACTTTGAATAGCAAAATGTCAGAACATTCTGTTAGAACACTTTGGATATAGTGGATAGACATGTTACAGTGAGACGAATGTTTGAGACTTCAGCTTGTTCATTCTTTCCTATGGAATTTGAAGTCGCAGAATATCTGAATCCCACAAGAAAGATTTAAATTAAAAAGGTTTACTCTGCTTGAGTACTCACACCTATTAACCATTGAAACCTGTGCTGAATGAGGAGCGTACTCAGCCTGGATGGTCCAACCTTCATTTTTAGTTTGCTTTGGAATGCATTATGTAACGTTTTGGCAGGATGCTTACCTTCCTAATTATGTTTTGTTTAAGATGATGTTAAAATCAGTTCTCATTCCCTTGAGCACACACACTAATTGATGATGGGGGCAACTGACCTAGAAATAGATTCCAGGGCAGAGGTCAGCCTACTGGCCTGAGACTCTTAACAGTTCCCATGGGTAGTCCATGAAGTAGATTAGCCACATCTGGTCAGACACAGTAATTAACAAGTTAATTTACTACTTAACATTTTGTTGGTAACCCAGAAAATCTGTACCTGGAATTCTTGCCAGTGATCAACCCTGTCCAATTCTAATTGGAAGCTTAGTTTCAAGAAATAACATCCCAGAAAGCCCAAATTAGCCAATTCTTTACTTGAAGGCTAGAGTCCAAACTTCACAAGTTGCAGTGACTTATATTGTCTTTTTTAAGAATCTTTATTGAGATATAATTCACATACTATAAAATTCACCCATTTAATGTGAACAATTCAATATTTTTTTTTTTAAAACATAGTCACAGCCAGGTCTGACTCGATGGCACATAAAAACAACAATAACAACAATTGAAATTTAGAACATTTTCATCATCCTGAAAGGAACATATACCCTTTAGCAGTCACTTCATTCTCCCTCTTCCCCTCAGTCTTAGGCAACTACTTTGTGGTTCTATAGATTTGACTGTTGTTGTTGTTATGTGCCATGGAGTTGGAGTTGGACCCAACTCATAGCGACCCCTCCTTGGGTTTCCAAGGCAGTATTGCTACGGAAGTAGATTGGCCAACCTTCCTTCCAAGGAGTGGCTGGAGGGTTTGAACTACCAGCTTTCTGGTTACCAGTCAAGTGCCTTAGGCACTACGCTACACTATAGATGTGCTTTTGTGACTGGCTTCTTTGACTCAACATAACATTTTCAAGGTTTTTCCATGGGGCATATGTCAGTATTTTATTGCTTTTTGTTGTTGAATAATACTTTCTTATATGGATATACCACATTTTGTTTATCCATGTATCATATATAAACATATTGATGGCTGTTTGAATGGTTTCCACCTTTTGGCTATTATGAATATGCTGCTATGAACATTCTTATACCAGTTTTTGCGTGTACATATGTTTTCCTTTCTCTTAGATACATACGTACAGTGAATTTGCTGGATCATACGATAACTATATTTAACATTTTTAGGAAGTACAAAATTACTTTTCAAAGTGATTGTCCCATTTTGAATCCTCATCACCAATGTATAAGGATTCCAGTTTCTTCAAATCTTAGCCGATGCTTGTTATTGTCCATCTTTTTAAGCCACCTTAAAGAGTTTGAAGTGGTATTTCATGGTGGTTTTGGGTTGTATTTCCCTAATGACTAATGCTGTCACCTGTCAGTTTGTTGTACAGTGGTAGCTTGAGTGTTGCTGTGAAGCTGGAAGTTATGCCACTGATATTTCAAACATCATCAGGGTAGACAGGTTTTAGCAGATCTTCCAAACTAAGACAGACTAAGAAGGAAAACCTGGTGATTGACTTCCAAAAATTAGCCAGTGAAAACCTTATGAATCACAATAGTCTGACTTGTTTGCCTTGGACACACCAGGAGAGATCATTTGCTAGAGGAGGACATTATGTTTGGTGAAGTAGAGGGCCATCGAGGATGAGAGAGGTCCTTGGGGGATGGATTGGCATAATTGTTACAATGATGGATTTGAACACTGTGAGAATGACATATGACTGGGCAGCATTTCATTCTGTTGTACATAATGTTGCCATGAGTCAGAGTTGACTTGAAGGCGGATGTCTGTCTGTCTAATGACTAATGATGTTGAACATCTTTTTGTGTACTTAGTGATCATTTTTGACGGCACATAACAACAACAACAACAACAGTGATCATTTGTGTATCTTCTTTAGAGAAATGTTTATCTGAATTCATTACCCTTTTTTAAATTGTGTTATTTCTCTTTTTATTAAGTTGTAAGAGTTGTTTATATATTCTGAAGAAATCCTTTGTAGATATATGCTTTGCAAATATTTTCTACCATTCTGTGGGTTGACTTT